GTTAGTACTTAGATGGGAGACTGCTGGGAAATTTACTCAAATCATGATAAAACTTTCTTAATTCAAGTCACCTTAACTTGACTAGATTTTGTTTTTTGCAGTGTAAGCAGGGCTGGGCCTGGGTAGTATGTAGACGGGAGACCGCTGGGAATTCCAGGTGCTACAGGGGGGCGCCACTCTGTCATTGTGTCCTTCAGCAAGGCACTTCACCCACATTGCCTAGTATGAAAGTGGTGTGGGCATGAGTGATGGTGGTGATCGGAGATTGGCAGCTTCATTTCCTTCATTTTGCCCTGGGGCAGCTGTGGCTACAATGATAGCTTACCTATTGAGTGTGGAGCGAATGAATAATGAACTGTGAAGTGCTTCAGGTGTCTTGAAAGGCTCTAAATAAATGCAATGATTAATTAATTAAGAAACAGTGGAAGACTTCCTGTATTACCAGATGACATCACGAGGTGGAAGAGAGTTTTTCGTTTGAGAGAACTCAGCCTAAATATGCAGGGTTTGTGTGTTAATCATGAGTGAATGAAACAAAACACAACTCCAGGTATGTTTTTGACAAGGAAACTATATTATAACATAGATCAGAAGATAATAGCCTAATTTGGGCTCTTTCATCTGAAAACTTATGAAAAAAATACAAAATGGAGCATATTTTCAGGAGCCTGTGATCAACAGTAGCATTCTTGGTCTTGTTTAGGGGTTGTGATTTTCAACAAAAAGTGAGAGTGACTAACCGAAAAAGTTTGGCTACGTTCAGACTGCAGCCTGAAGTCCGATTTTCTCGCCCCTATGTGACCTGTATCTGATCTTTTAATGACAGTCTGAAACAACACGGATCCGAATTTTATAAACGCAACCCAGGCCACTTAGATATGTGCTCCTAAAACCGATACATATCCTATCTTTTGACATGCGACTTCAGTCTGAATGGCCAGGTCGCATTCATCCCACCTCCAAGTCATTGGTGTAGACGAAGACGTGTTTCCTCCCGTGAGAGTGGTACAAGTAGCACAAATGTTCTTCTTGTCATACGAAAATTGTGTATGAACCCGCTGTCAGTGAGGCAGCGAAGCACATAACGACTCCGCACCAACAACGTTCCTTTGTACGGACGTTGCTGCCATTGCCCCACAAAACGCCATGGCCAAAAACCTCGTCCTTCTCCTTCTCAATCTCCTCCTTAAAACAAATAAGCTGTACATGTTCTGGCTCCAGTACGACACCAACTTTAAAATTGCTCAATGCTAGAGTCCATGTTTAGGCGACTTCCTTAAAAACAGAGCACGGTCGCTGCATGTGACGTCGTGTCCTCCAATGTGCATGTGGGACACTTTTGGGGCATTTAAAGTTCACGCTGGAGATCACATACAAGTCGCATTTAATTGGAAATGCGAACAACCTCGCCAAAAACATTGGATTTCACAAAAAAATCCAAACTGAGTATTAAGAAGTGCAGTCTGAACGTAGCTTTTGAGAGGAACTCAAATCAGCTCAAATGTTGTAGTTCGGGTTCAGCTCTTTCTGGTCAGATTGTCTTAAAATAAAGCTCACATTAAACCAAAAGTAAAAAAAAACAAAAAAACAAAACAGGGATTACACAGACAAATGGAGAAGTGTGTATTCTGGATTCCAGGCAAGAACTTTCTGGTATCCTCAAACTCCTCGTTGCCGCTGTCACTTCACAAATAAAAGATCTCTCTATTGCTTTCCTGTCTTCCTATGATGAACACTCCCAAACTCCAGCCCGCACTATCTAACCCAGTTGTATTTGTTGTTGTCTAAACTCGAGCGCCGAATCTGATTTAATACCATTTGGTGCTGATAATAAAAAGATTACAGAGAAAAGTGCCGGAGGAGAAGAGGAGGATTGACTTTTTATAACTCATAATACACAAAGCCCGAGGGGAGTTATCTCAGCTCAGACTAATAAACTGGGCTTTCACTTTGCATTAGACAAATCTAACAGCTTTATTGAGAAGAGGTTCACGCTTCATGGAAAAGAAAAAAATGAGAAAAGAAAAGAAAAAAAAAATGGAAAAGAAAGAAATCGAGCTTCGACATATGGCAAACACTGAGTAAGGATTAGTGTTGATAGACTATTCATCAAGTTTTTAGTTCGCAGTATGAGGGTTATGAGATCTTAATTCTATGTACATTTTCCGGTACGAGGTCTGCCACTTGTTTGTTTCCACGGAGATGTTGTTGTCGTGCTTGGAATGTTCCACAGTATGGCATTTAGAGCATGTTTACCTTGTTTAAAAAGTAGCTTAAAAACATGGTAAATGGTCAGTTTTATACAGCGCTTTTCCAGCTTCAAGGCGCTTAAAGCGAGGAGCTACTCACTTATTCACACACACATTCATTCACTGGTGTACGAAGACACTGGGGGACAGGCGGGTTATGTGTCTTGCCCAAGGACACAACAATAGCATTCATCGGTGGGAGTTGGAATCGCGCTTCCAACCTGTGGGTCAGTGGACAAACGTTCTTCAAAGTGAGTTACTACTAACGTGCGTTCTTAGGGTGACTTCCCACTAAACTGACTTCCCGGCAAACTGAAACCATTTTAGATCTGATGTGGACTCGGTTTGGTCCTTTTCTAGCCATGTCTAATCCTGATCCAGTCCAGGATTAGTTTTGAAATTAGTCCTTGGTTTTGTCGTGTGGTGGAAATTTACATTGTGGAAAGATTTTGCTCAATCTGTCTTTATGTAAATGAATGTGATTTGATGTGAATGAGGCCCAGACCAGTCATTAACATGTGTAAAGGCTCAGCAGAAACAATTGTCTCCACCCTCATGAATGTTGTGTTGTTTTACCTATCCTCAAATGTATGTTAAGTTAATTAGCACCAGCCTCTGAAACAAAAGTCACTCTGCTTTGATATATATGTACAGAAATGTATGTATTTCTGTGTAAATACTGGGAGGGAGAGACTCAGGCTAAGTTTATATGATGACGGTCTGAACAGAAGACGCAAAAGTGGTGTCATGTCTTCACTTTTTATTCAGTTCGTTTTCGGGAGGAAATCTGCGTGCATACAGTGACGCAAAAGTATGTGGAATTCAATTAAGTATGCATGCCAGCTTTCTGTGTACTATGTGTTTGTGACGTAAACGTGTACGCGACGTGAGCACATCTGACTAGAGCACAGGTGTCAAACATAAGGCCCGGGGGCCAGATCCGGCCCTCCAAGACCTTTAATCTGGCCCTCGGCTGATTTTCTACCAAAATATTTTAATTATATTTTCTATTAAAATCTTGTTAATTTTCTGTGGTGTTTATCACAGCAGCGTCTCCAGCGTCTCTGTACGTGGCCCCTCCCACCAGAGCAGCACAAATGAAGACTTGTCTCTTTCCAAACGCTCTTAAAGGACGATCGTTTTGACTGTTGACCGTGACACCCTCATCAGAAAAATGTCCAAAATGAGAAAAGTGGAGCCGAGTGCAGGATTTTCCAAGAAAAATTTACTTATTCGTATTTGCAGACAAGTTAATGTTAAAACATTATGTTGAAATTACATTTTTCTTAAAGTTTGGTTGTTCATAATATTATAATATTTAGTTAAAGAAAGAGTTCATCACTTAAAAAAGATTTCTGTAGAAAAGATTTGTGTTTCTCTGTACAAATATTTGGACGTATTGCTATTTTTGGAGTATATATGCCATGAGTTTTCTGATCCGGCCCCTTTGGGATCAAAGTTGGTTGGACTGGACTAGAGTTTTGCATATTCAACTTTTCCACTCTGGAGTGTGGTTTCAGATTTTTGCATTTTTAAGCCCCCAAAACGGCGTCACAGTCTAAATGAAAGGCACTTCCGATAAAATATATTGTCTTTTTTACCCGCAAGCCTTCTCGTGTAAACAGACCCTTAGAGCTCAGATGTTCTGGGAGCAGAGACTCAGAGGAGATGCTCCGTTGGTCTGTTGCCAGGTCAGGCTTAGGCCCCGTCCATATCTGCTGTAACAATGTAAATAAACGTTGGTCTGTATTTCAAAAACTCACCAAGCTTCGCAAATAGATTAATTATTTCTCCATCAAGATATGTATATCATTTTTTTCCACAACAGTTGTAATTTTGATGTGGGATTATATCCTGGCTCACCCCAGATTGATACTGTATGTGTCACTCAGATTAGAATTCTACACATGATTAATCTGGAACTGTTCTCACTGAAAGAGATTAGAAAACACAGAACATCATGGCAACTATTTGAGTCTGATTGGTCAATGCGTCACAACAGCGGAACAAGCCAAAAACTCTAAAAGCACAGACTTCTTCCCTGTCCATAAATGCATCAACCTTTTACCTTCTGTAAATTTTTGACAAACTAACTGGTCTGGTTTGATGCTAAAACAGTCTGAAGTAGATTTGTTGGCTTCACCATGTTTGGTTCGTTTGTGCGCTTTACCTTTGGCTTCTGCACAAACCTCAACACTGTGACGTGATTGGTCCCCCAACCCAATTAACCGTACAGCAGGCGCACTCCAAGATGGATTCTCTCAAGCTTCTGAACTCACAAATAACATGAGAATCTATCATCCTAGAGCAAGGTTAGTGGAAAGCACAAGAGTGAAAGCGTCCTTCCTGTGCCTCTCCACAGAGCTGACCTGTAAACATGACCTGGTGGCACTGCCTGCTTGTCTCCATGAAGATATATAACTCAAAACACTTTTTCAGTTTATTTTTAAAGTCAAATAAAGAGATCCAGATATGAAAGAGATCAAAAGTGTTCTAGTTTAGATTTTTAAAAGTTTGGTTTTCACGTATCACCCAGTAAACCATGAAACAAGTTAGATTTCTGTGTCCCATATGTGTGATAATATAAAAATAATGTATGCTTATTTATTTATTTATGCTACAGAAAATGAATTGGCAACAGTTGTTAATTACTATGGCAACCGTGATCATTTTTCATGATGCCAGAACTCAAGGATAAATCTGAGTTTGAAACCAGCCTGACCTTCCTTCCTTTTCTATTTGTTTTTTCAGAGGAGTTCCAAAACTTCGTGCGGAAGCTGCCCACGTTCTACGCCCTCAACACGTCGGCCATTCAGTTCTTCTGGAAGTCGGACGCCGCCGTGCACCAGCGCTACCGGCAGCTGGAGGTCAACGCCCAGCAGCTCTTGAGCAAGGCGCGTCGCATCGTCCACAAGCTCTTCACCCTGAGCAAGAGGTGCCGCAGCCAGCCCAAGATCGTCATGCTGAGGGAGAGGTGAGAAGATAACCTGGTCCTAATCCTGTTTCCTCATCACAAACATGCCCCGAGCTGTGTTTTTGTTTCATTTGCACGCATGTTTATCACACTAATCCTGCCTATTTAGAATTCTTCTCTCGAACAGAAAACGCTCTACTGAGTTTTTAAACTCCATACACCTTCACTAGAATCATTGGATCATTTCAGATCTGGAATTGCCAATCTCTACTGAACCAAAAGGTAAAATCTGGCTGTTAACTACTGTTTTTCTGATCTTTGGAGATGTAGATGGATGAGGTAGCAACATTAGAAGTAGTGGTAGTTTTATTCGGTCATTTTTCAGCACTAGAAAACAAAACATAGACTACAACCCCATGGATCACGACTGAAGTAAAATGTACTCATTATGCCAAACCCTATTAAAAAATGACACAATTCCAAGAAAGTAAAGTAGCGTATGAGCAGCAAGTTTACATTTACAATTTAACTTAGGACTTATTGTATATAAGAGACAAAATATAAATTAAAACAAACAAAATTAAATGCATAATTCATTAATTCCAGTGCTCTATATCTTTCAAAACATAACACTTTATATATAATTTTTTTTTTTAAAGGCTTCTACAGTGCGGGTAAAAACAGCAATAAGTACATTTTGTTTAGATGGTGACAGCATTTTTGGGGCTTAAAAATGCAAAAATATGAAACCACCCTCCAGAGTGGAAAAGTTGAATACACTCCGTCGTAGCGTTTCCGTCTACACTGTCCAAGACGCAAACCTCTGGTCAGATCTGCTCAGGTCACGTACATGTTTACGTCACATACATCACCACCTATTGTCACCGCCTAGTCGCCTGGCATGCATACCCAATCAAATTCCACATACTTTTGCGTCACCGTATGCACGCAGATTTCTTACTGAAAATGCTCGTCTAAATGCGGAATAAAAAGTTAAGATGCGACGCCACTTTTGCGACTTCTGTTCATATAAATGTAGCCTTAAATTGTTCCATTTACTAACCCCTCTTACAGAAATACAATCACTTAAAAAAAATAATAATAATGTATCTTCATTTTTTAAAGATGCCAGTTTAGTTTTTTTGTTTATGATTGTACAAACTAATGATAATGATAAAGAAGGCACAAAATATTAATAACAGCTATTAATAATCATTTTATAATCATCAAATTATCAAGTCATTAGTATGTATAAGCCTGTTATATTCTGAGAAGCTCCTCCATGTTTCTAAAGTTCATAAACCTCCGCTAGACTTGAAATCTGAGCTCAGATTTCTGCTACTATTATAGTTTTGCCACTTTGATGCCAGCTCATATTGATTTCAGCGGTAGACTGAGTATATAAATGGGAAGGAAGTGAGCACGTTGCACTTTTGGCTCCATCGGCTTTGGCTCCAATTGACTTTACATTGAGAAATTGTCACCCGTCTCTCTGTAACTGCTGCTGTGAGCTTCGTCATTTTGGTCTTAAAACGTTCGCATTAACCCGCTCTACGTGATCCTGGTCTTTTTATTTTGCGGTTTTGTCCGTAAATAAATTCCTTTGCCTGTAACTGCTAGCTTCGTGAGCTTCATTTGACAGAACTATTAATGAACTAAGGCTAAGTTTATATGATGACGATCTGAACAGAAGACACAAAAGTGGCGTCGCGTCTTCACTTTTTATTCCACGTTTAAATGAGCGTTTTCAAGAGGAAATCTGTGTGCATACGGTGACGCAAAAGTGTGTGGAATTTGACGCATGGAAATAATCTGACATGTTTGTTTCTGTGTACTGTATGTATGTAACATAAACGTGTACGCGACGTGAGCAGATCTGACCAGAGTTTTGCGTCTTGGGCAGTGTAGACGGAAACGCTTCGATGGAGCGTATTCAACTTTTCCACAGATTTTTGCGTTTTAAAGCCCCAAAAACGCCATCACCATCTAAACAAAATGCACTTCCAATAAAATATTTTGCCGTTTTTACCCACAAGCGTTCTCGTGTAAACAGGCCCTAACAATTTGACTTAACTCTTCAGTCATGTGTGACACCACCTTCACAGTCCATCAGGAGAAACACCTACTCCAGAAGTCTGGCTGTGTAATTGTTCTTACTGTTGTCACTTGAAGTAATTAGCGCCGACGCATCAGTTTTTAGACCCTCTGGAAGGAATCTCCAAGAATACCTCAGTTTGTCTTCGCTCCTTTTCCATTCTCTTCTTTTTCAGCGACCTCGAAAACAGACTTTCTTTTGTGCGAACTTCATGTTCTCGTCCACCATACAAACTTTGTGCAATTGCGAAAGCGACAGTTTGAAAAAGCCTCTAAGAACTGCTGCAAAACCACATAATCCCCGCACGCCAGCAAGTTTACACTAGAAATTTTGAACAACCTAACAGCCAATAGAAAATGAGGTAGCATTGGCTCATGTTTATCTGGCCTTCTACGTCCAAGTTATGGGTTTTCATTCTTTTTTTTTTTTGGTCAATAATTACAAGGCTAATATTTTAAACTATTGACAATTTAAAACTAAAAAAAAAATAATAATCTTCAGTCATAATGGTGCTGGTATTGCGCCCTCTTCTGGTTTACTGTATAACTCTATTTTCATAGCAACTAAGGTCTGAAGCAATTTTCTTTTAAAAAAACACATTATTTTAAGTTCTACTGCTTAATATAATAATAATAATAATATAATGCGTTATCTACCCTGACTTTTCCATAAAAAAGGTTATTGAAAATGTAAACTCTTTATGCTGTAGCTCCTCTGTCTGCTCCTCAAAACCACTGATGTCAAATCTATAGTGGCTTTGAAAAATTCATCAAAAAATTCCACGCATAAATTATAAATATCTGTTCTTCCGTGTGGTTAATTTTTGGCATTACATAAATAATATATTCAGATGATAATGACCCAAAACCTTTGTTCCTGAAGACCTGTTTTTAAACCCTGTCTTTGTCACAGTTTAATCTGGATTTAGGCCTGTCACAATAATTATCGTAAAGGTTTATTGTTCAGTACTTGATAGATGGTACAATCATTTTTGGGTGTCGGTGTTAAACGCCTCATATTCCACTATTTTCTGATCTATGTTATAATGTTTCTTCATCACAAACAGACCTGGAGTTGTGTTTTGTTTCATTGACACAAGTTTAACATGAAAACTCTGCCTATTTACATTGAGCTCTTCTCTCAAGTTGAAAACACTCCACCTTGTGATGTCATGCGGTAATACAGGAAGTGCTCTATTGTGTTTTTAAACTCCGTATACTTTCACTAGAATTATTTTGATCATTTCAGTCCTGGATTTGTGTAGATAAACTTGAAAAATAAGGTGGGACAGAGCATTTTGAGCTTTGGAGCTGTAGACAGACTAATAATAAAGAGTTACTCAAATGTGTGAATGGAACAAAACTCAACTCCAGGTTTGTTTTGAGGAGGTAACAACATTCTAACTCGGCTAAAAGCTCACAAGAGTCAATTTTGCGTAAGATAGGACCTCTATTCAAGGGTTGAATAACTTTTATAACTCGCAGATAGAACCAAACAACTCTTTTATTTGACTAAACTTCAAGTACTAACTTAGTTTTTGATAATATGATATAAGTATAATATGTTTTTACAATCCTGCATTAGATTTATTGCATGTTAAAGATGCACTGCGTAACATTTCTAGTAGAGAGTACGTCACCTGCTTGTCTCCACAGAAATGTTATTTTTTTTATCTTGAATGTTCAGAAAGAAGACAGAATGATCGCACATCAGCCAAGTGCAGGTGCAGAACCAACAAGATCAGATAAAACAGAAATAATAAAGGCCCGCACACTGTTTTAATGCTTCCAACATGAAATTCATTAGCACAACGCTGTTTGATTTCATGGTGGGAGCGTTGAAATGGTGTGTGTGCCTTTATTATTTTTGTCTTGAATGTTCCACAGTATAGATTACCATATTTTTTTCCTACTATAAGGCGCAATATCAGTAATGTTGAATTCTCTTGTCTATTTTCATACATAAGGTGCAACAGATTATAAGGAGCATTAAGCGAAACAAACGGACGACACTTGAGACTGACCCCTTAGCTCAGGCGTCCACGATTCATTGGCAGATCATAGCGTAATTTGTCCGACGTTGCCTCCCCGTCTTGGTGAATGTTTATTATGAATGTGAATGTGGGTAGATATTTGTAAAAAATAAAGTAGTTTGCTTTTTTTATTTCCTACAAGGAGGACTCAAATAAACATTCAGTAATAATGTGTTTAATTCAGCTTTGCGCACATTTGTTTACGTTTTACAGAAATAAAACTTAAAAGCACATGGCTCATTTGCATAAACTATAAGCGCTGGAAAAAAAAAAAAACTGCTCGCTCCTTGTGCCCTGATGTGGTCAGCTTCTGTCGGACTAAAGGACACGACTCAGTGGAGGTCAGTAAGCACAACCACAATTAATACATAAGGCGCACTGTCGATTTTGGAGAAAATTAAAGGATTTTAAGTGCACCTTATAGTCCGAAAAATACGGTAAACCTATCTATCACGAGGGAGACAAGACGGTTACAGCACCACGCTACATTACAGTTCAGATCTGTGGAGAGTCGCAGGAATTCACAGAAGGAATTACTGTATGTTTTAGCAATAAAAACATTTGTAATGAATAAATGCTAGATGGATTTAATGTCGATAAGTAACGGACCCTCCACCTTAAAAGTTGCGCAATGCACCTTTAAATTACTTCCAATTTTATCTCTATATATTTAATTTCTTATCGTAATAGGCTCATGTGGACTCCTCTTACCTTGTTTACCAAAGTTTGCACACATTTTGATGGAGAGTGCAGTCACCTTTGAGATTTAATGAAGCGTATGATCAGGTTCCTTCACACTCCTCCATCAGCAGCAGAGGTGAGAAGCCGCTAAACCACTCTGGCCTCGGCCCTCTCGCGGCTCAGGAGGTGCGGACACGCGACGGGCTTAGACACAGGACCATGCAAACACCGACCACTGGCTCCACATGAACC